GCACACACACAGGGTCAAAGTTTTGAATAACCACAACGATTATAACATCCGAAATAAGCATCCGATACTCTTCATATTTCACACATTCCATTATTTCTATTAACATAAGATCTACGATGAAGATTGGATACAGTGGTCCACTCCTTCTGGTACCTCCCCTACAAAAGGTCAACATTTTTAATATCCATGAAGCAATAAATCGATTTTAATATCCGATTCTATTCAGACTTGGTACATGTCAATATTTCATCAACACAAGATATTTTATGAAGTTGGTAGAGATCGGACCATTTCTACTGGTACCTCCCCAACAAAGGGTCAAAGTTTGGAATAGCCAAAACTAAAGATTGTCATGTAAACGATTATCAAGAAAGCTTTCTTATTTCATGGCCCCAACGGGCATAAGGTCTGAAAAATAATTTTAATAACAATACTTAGCCCAGGTTGACCGCAGACCTTTACATAAGTATCAATATTTGCATGACGATTGAAAAATATGTTAAAATCTTTTTTCGACCAGATTTACGTTGGCGCCATTTCAGAAATTAAACATTACCATCGTTCTCCACTCATAAACAAAAGTTGTTTTTATAAAACAACAATAAAGGGATAAGCCTGACCATTTTGCAACAACAAAAAATTAATTTTGAATTCTTTACAAAAATCCAAAAGAGGCTCTTTAAGGTGGTCCGTACAAGGACATGTGGATATGGCGCCCCACAAAAATTAGTTTTTTTCAGAAAAACTTGACAGTTTTTCAAGATTTTCATGTAACGGATTGTCAAAAAATCGTTCATATTTCATGGCGCCCAATGGGCATAAGGTCTGAAAAATAATTTTCTCTTTATAACAATACTTAGGCACAGGTTGGCCGCAGACCTTTACATAAGTATAAATTATTTGCAAGACGATTGAAAATATGTTAAAATCTTTTTTCGACCTGATTTACGTTGGGCGCCATTTCAGAAATTTTAATTAGTTTTGAATTCTTTAGCAAAAAAAAGCGCTTTTTATTTTAATTTTCTCTATAATTAAAATACTTAGTACAGATTGACTTCAGACCTGTGTATAAGTACCATTATTGTTTAAAGGTGAAGAAAAAATTGTTTAAATGTTTTTTCGACTTAATTTACGTTGGGCGCCATTTCAGAAATTTAAATTAATTTGAATTCTTAGCAAACCGTGTTTCGTGGAAGAATATGTGACTATGGCGCCCCCACAACTGAGGTCGTACTATACCTCCCCCCTGCGAGGATGCAGACCACACATCCTTAGTGTCGGAATTGCGGAAATACAATTTTCGTTTTTTTTTTTCGCTGCGATACATGTTTTCACCGTCTTCCCAGGGAGGTAACATAGTTCCGATGGTGCCCTAGTCCATTATCCCTATTTCTATAGTCTCCACCATAGTATGGAGGGTATATTAAGTTTGTCATCCCGTTTGTAACCCCTCGAAATATACACTTTTGGACCTCACAAAGTACATATATTTTAATCAGCATAAAATTAATGTCGACTTAGCTCTGTCTGTACGTCTGTGGAAATCAATTTAACTCTCGAACGAAAAGAAATTAGGTTGATAAAACTTTTATTTAGGTCCGTAAAATTTTGGTATTTATATTGGCCACATAGGTCCACGTTTTTGTAGAGCCCTCAAATATTGTATCACCTGATGTTGCGAATTTTTCAAATTTAAGAGCTGAAATGAAGTTTAAGTTCTACCGATTTTAGCTGCTTTTTAATTGTTTACTTTATATGTTCACTAAATAATTACTCGATGCGGAATTCGAGAATTTGGCCCTAGCAAGTGATGTCGTCTGAACGTTAGTTCCCTATTTCGTCCCAGCATTTAATAGATGACAGCCAAAGTGAATAGAAATGTCTTGAAAACGCAAACGGAAAAATTTGCTAAATACAACTTGAATTTTTCGGCCGGGCCAAACTTTAATACCCTCCACCTTAGGGTAAAGGAAACATTAGAGCCCATTATGACCCACATATACCAATTTTTAGACATATTAATGGGAAAATGTGCCAAAAATCATCAAAATACCGAATATCGGGAAATTCGGCTATATGGGGCTATACAAAAACGTGGACCTATACATACAGTGTTTCGCTAAAAGAGCTAGAACCATTAAGTCCAACAATACCAATTTCTAGACAAATACGCGAAGAAATGTGGCAAAAACCATTAAAATGCTGAATATCGGAGGTCCCGTTATATGGGGCTATACCAAATCGTGGACCTATAAATGCAATGTTTTGCCACATGAACTGGGACCCGTTATGACCTACAAATACCAATTTTCAGACCAATCCGTGAAAAAATGTGGCAAAAATAATTAAAATACCGAATATCTGGAGGTACCTTTATGAGGGGACTATACCAAAACGTGGACCGATATATCTCATTTTCAATGCCAACCATCGTAGACACAATAAAAATTGTTCTGCTAAATTTTGGCGCTCTACGTCAAATAATGTGGGCTGTATCGTGATTTCAACGGACAGACAGACGGACAGACAGACAGACAGACAGGCAGACGGACAGACAGACGGACATCGTTAATTCGACTTAGAATTTTATGCTGATTATGAATATATATACTTTATGGGGTCTAAGACGAATATGGGCGCCATTTCAGAAATTTAAATTAATTTTGAATTCTTTACAAAAAATAAAGTAAAGATATGGCGCCCACAAAAATTAGGTTTTTTTCAGAAAAACTTGGATAGTTTGTCAAGATATGGTCCACCATATCGTATAGCCCCATACATGGGTAGCCCCCGATATTCGGTATTTGATGATTAAAGCCTCATTTTTTAATGGAGTTGAAATTCCAGACAAGGAGGTCTTTGTGAGAACTATAATCCTTGAAAAGAATTGTCTATATGAGTCCATGCTATCGTATATCCCCCATGCAACTGTGCCTTCTGATATTCGGTATTTTCATGAGTTTAGCAACATTTTTTAATGGAATTGTCTGAAAATCCCCCCAAAAGTGTTTTCTCTGTGTTCTTTACCCTCTGGAAGAGAATTGTCTATATAGGTCCACGATATCGTATATCCAGCTTATAACGGTTTCATTTTAGTAGGATTTTTTGAAAATTTTCAAGATAGCTGTTTTTTACTTGTTTTTTACATTGACGAAAGCGTTTTTTTTAATCCGTGGAGTACCATGTGATTTCCTAAACGAAAATCGATTCTAGCCAAACCTGAGTGTGTTTTCATTCGCGAATAGAATTGAGTAAATCGGATTTATGGCTGTAAATGATTGTTTGCAATTTTGGAGAATACGTTCAAGTTCATCTTTTCATCTATTGATACGACCACAGGCAAAGGAAGTACTCTCTGCTATTCTTCGATCAGATTTTCCTCGACCGAATTCTGTCTTTTATTTCGATGTTTTGATATCCAAATATAATCGGCTGAAGTGGATTGTCCTGATAGATTGGAAATTTCATTTTCAGCAATCTTCCAGTACTGCCACTCTCACCACAGGTAAAAGGAGTACTCTCTGGAATTCATCGGTCAGATTTACCTGACCAAATTCTGTCTTTTATTTCGATGCTTTGATATGCAAGTTATAATCAAGCAGAAGTGGATTGTCTCGATATATTGGAAATTTCATTATCAGCAATCTTCGAGTCCTGTCCCTTTTGAGTATTTCTTCCTCGCAACTAAAGTCGGAGATCTTGCTGTTAATTTTTCTTTGCAAATCTGTAGAATACTCTCTCTCTCTCTCTCTCTGTAAAAGGAGTACTCTCGGGAATTCTTCGTCAGATCATCTCCAATCGAATTCTGCTTTTGAATGCTATAAAATGGTGTTCAAATCCATTTCATATTCAGACAGAAGTGGATTCTCCTAATTTCCTCAAACTTGGTACATGGTAATATTAATGTCAAACTTAGAGATGGGCAATATTGGTCCACTCCTTCTGGTACCTTCTCCACAAAAAGTCAAAATTTTCACAGAAAATAATTTATTGTATCGATCAAGAAAAGATCATCCAATTTTGTGCAAACTTACTTTCCTAACATAACCCGTAATTAACGCGTATCTATCTTTTGGACACCTATAGTAGCTCTTCTATCTATAGGAGGAACAGGGAAGGGGCACCTCCCATAGCTCATCACAATTTGTAGCACCTTTTGTAAATGGCAATTGGACACCTATAGTAGCTCTTCTATCTATGGGAGGAACAGGTAAGGGACATCTCTGATATTTCATAAAAATTTGTAGCACCTTTTGTAAATGGCAATTGTCATTCCTGACCCACCACAAGCAACAGCATTCAATTCAATTCAATAAATACTTGATGTTTATTATTTTTTCTGTTGGCTTGTTGGCTGAATGACGATCAGTCTGACTGACTTACTGCCAGTCGTCTGTCTGACTGTCTGGTTATCATTTACATTTTTCTTACTTCCACTCATATTTCTGCAAAGCTAAACTGAACGCCCACAGGAAATGTTACGCTTTTAATTTCCTGTCCTAGGTTTAGGTTGGCGGTGGTGGTTGGGTGGTTTACGATGACTTGAATCGGTTTTTGCTTTTCATAGTTCCAGAGAAGTTGAAGTTGCATAATGACGTGGTGGTGGCGATGTTGTTGTTGCTGCTGTCGCTGAAAGTTGAATAATTGAATAAACTTGCAACATTTATGCCTAACAGCCCAACAGCGGCTATGACAACGACAACTGCAACGACGGAGAATGATGATGGCGATGACGACGAGTAGGTGAGAAATGCCTGAAACCTTATAAAAGAAAAAGAAGAAAAACATACCAAAGATAGGAAAATCAAAATACCAGACTCAATGGATTGTAGGTTGTTTTTTTGGCGAACGCCTCTTATCCCCAGGGAATTGTTGTTGTTATTTTTTTTTGTAATTGTTAACTTGTTATACATCCGTAAATTGCTTTGCATATTTTTTTTGAGTAGTATTTTTTTAATAATGAAATTTATTTCCTGTCTCTCTTTTTCTCTTTGCAGTTTGTCGATATTGGCATTGTCACCTCCATCGAATCGAATCACAAACAATTGGAAACGGCCCGCAAAGGTCAGGAGATTTGTGTCAAAATCGAACCCATACCGGTGAATCACCCAAAATGTTTGGCCGTCATTTTGAAGCTGATGATATGTTGGTTAGCAAGGTAAGTTGATGGAAATTTATGATACGATTTTTATACCCTCCACCTTGGAAAGGAGGGTATATTAACTTTGTCATTCCGTTTGTAACATCCTTAAGTATTCGTCGTAGACCCCATAATGTATATGTGTATATGCATACATGTATAAAATTCTAAGTCGATTTAACGATGTCCGTCTGTCTGTCCGTCCATCTGTCTGTCCGTCTGTTTGTCCGTCTGTCGATCTATTGAAATCACGATACAGCCCACATTATTTGACGTAGAGCGTCAAAATTTAGCAGAGCAATTTGTATTGTGTCTAGGATGGTTGGTATTGAAAATGAGATATATCGGTCCAGGTTTTTCTATAGTACTCATATAACGGTACCTCCCGGTATTCGGTATTTTAATGATTTTAGCGACATTATTGACCGGAATTGTTTAAAATTTGGTATTTGAAGTTCGTAATGGATACTACAGCCTATGACAGAAATTGTCTATGCCGGTCCAGGTCTTCGTATATGCCCCATATATCAGTACCTCCCTATATTCAGAATTTTGACGAGTTTTGGTACAAGACCCACCAAAATTGTTTGAGATGTCATATTTCAAGTTCGTAATGGATGCTACAGCCTGTGACAGAGAATTGTCTATGCTGGTTCAGGTCTTCGCATCTGCCAACAAAAACCCATTTTCAGCATTACTAGTAATGGCGCCTACAATGTTGCTCTGCGGTATTTTGGCCCATTCCCGGCGAAGCGCTTGCTTGGGATGATCGACACTTTGGTATTTTTAGTGCAACTTTGCTTTCCAAAATACTCCAGACACAATAGTCCAACGGATTGGAGATCCGGAGATTTTGGTGACCATTGTGCGCTGGAAATGAAGCGAGGAACCTCATTTTGTAACCATTCTTGGGTGGAGCGTGCTGAGTGCGATGGCGCTGAGTCCTATTGGAATGTCCAAGTTCTGCGGCCAAAATATTTGCGTGCCCAAGGCTTTATACACCCTCCAGAATAGTTTCGCGATAATATTCGGCATTATTCTGATGCCACGGTCGATTAATACGAGCGGAGAGCGACTGTTATGGCGTCCCACACCATCACCATGGCCGGCGCCTGAGTTGTGGTGGCCAACCGAAGGTGCACATTTTCAGCTGACCTCTTTGGCAAGTAAACACGATAATTTTGTTTGTTTACAAACTGCTGGACAACGAATGTTTCTCATCGGGGAAAACCAAATTCGGCAGTTCAGCTCTTTCGGCCAAGCGAAGCTACTCTTTAGCTCTTTTGAGTCTATTTTCTTTCTGTTGCGGTTTAAGTTCTTGCACTTTTTATACCCTCCACCATACTATGGAGGGTATATTAATTTTGTCATTCCGTTTGTAACTCCTCGAAATATTCATGTCAGACCCAACAAAGTATATATATTCTTGATCAGCGTAAAATTCTAAGACGATTTAGCCATGTCCGTCTGTCTGTCTGTGTGTCTGTCTGTCTGTCCGTCTGTGTGTCTGCCTGTCTGTCTGTTGTAATCACGCTATCTTTCGAACAAATTGAGATAGAAGGCTAAAATTTTGCACACATGTATTTTTTCCCAGTAGGCAGGTTAAGTTCGTAAATGGGCCATGTAGGTCCAAGTTATCATATAGCCCCCATATAACGGTACCTCCCGATATTCGGTATTTTGATGATTTTAGCGACATTGTTTTACCGGAATCGTTTCAAATTTGGTATTTGAAGTTCGTAATGGATACTTCATCCAAAGTCAAAGAGTGAGCCATGTAGGTCCACGTCTTCATATATCCCCCATATAACGGAACCCCCGATATTCGATATTTTAATGATTTTACGCTATGTGAAGTTCGTAATGGATACTTCAGCCCATGCCAGAAAATTGTCTGTGCAGGTCCACGTCTTCGTATAGCCCCCATATAACGGTACCCCCCATATTCGGTATTTTGACGATTTAGCTACATTATAAACAGATTTTTCTTCAAGTTTCGCATTTAAATATGTAATAATTTATGACAAAAGTTGCCTATGCAGGCCCACGTCGTCGTATAAGCATTCGGTACTTTTAAGATTTAACAGAATTTTTAACGGGTTTTATTTTTTGGAAATTGCCAAATTTGTACCAAATGGTGGAGGGTATTAAAAGTTCGGCCCGGCCGAACTTACAGCTTTTTTACTTGTTGGAATTTCAATGGCTTTACCCCGAGCTCATTTTTCAATATTTGCCGAATGAAATATTGCCATCACGAGCCATTTTTCGGCCACTGCGACGCGGGTCGCTTCTTTACTTTTCGAACCATTTCTGCTGATGTTGCTGTTTTCTTCTGTCCACTTCCTTGACGTCGGGCTACGCTACCAGTATAAAGGTAACGAGCTATGGTACGAGACACAAAAGATCTATTCACATTTAAATGCTGGAGTGCTCTAACGATACCCACTTGTGGTTTCCCAGCCAAATATAAAGAAATTACACTATCACGCTTGAGAGTTATCGTGCACACCAGCTAGGCAGACAGACAGACGGACAGGCAGACATCGCTAGATCGACTCCAAATGTTCTAAAACGTATTTGTCCAAAGGTACCTATGGTCTAAAACTATTATTTCGAAGATCCTAACCACAATTTTATTTCAAGGGGCTACAACTTAATATTTTGGCTTCGCAAGGGTTAGAAGACTATTTCGCAAAAATATTTGGAATTTGTTGGTTAACAGTTTTGGTCACTTTTGCTTCTGGAAGATGTCTCTCAGATATTTGGATTATGGATGCTTTGTTTTCCTTCAGCATTATTATTAGTGGTATTTTTTACGTAAAATTTACTATCCTTCGGTTCCAGGGAATATTGAGAATTTTGATTTTAAAGTGGTTTAAAAAAGTGGATTCTATATCTCATTCGATCCCGTTTAGTCTTTCTAGTTAAATACATTTTCCTCCACATCTTCTTCTTTAATCCATTGAAGAAACCTCAAGGAAACAAATATGTATGTATGTATGTAAGCCGACCTCAAGGCAAAATATGAATGGATGGAGAAATGTTTTGTTGGTTGGATGCCTTCCCATACCTCCCATCCCATCCAATAGCTGGGTTGAGGGTATTCATGACAATTGCTTGGAAATTGTTAACGTCATACTTTGCCTTCTACGCTTTCTGTTGGCCATTGACTTTTGGCTGAAATGCTGCGCGCACACACACACACATGTTCTTTTTCTTGTATATAATATATATTGTAGTGGTGTATATATACATGCGTATCTCTGTGTGTGTGTGTGTATGTTACGTTCGTTCATTCGTTTATTTGTATTGACACATTGACCCAATTATTTAATGTTTACTCCATCATCTACAAATCTATTTTTGGAATACACACATCTTATTTTCGTTCTCTGCCAACTTCTCTGCAATGCGAGGAAATGGTGGAAAAGTGGAGAGTTGGGTCTCGTACTCTATGTTGTGCTAGTCATTCAATGTTTCATTTTGTTTTATTAGTCCCTTCTCTCCGCCCGGCATTCGTCCTTTGTTTTCCAATGGAATCGTAGAGCGAATAGTGCGTCATTATTTCGCATAGTTGAAGGCTGTATGGTTTTTTTTTTGTTTTCCTCTAAAAGGACCGGAGAGAGAGAGGTCAAATTTTTGTTCTACGCATAAATGAGCTAAAGGCGATTTTTTTTTGCGTAAAAAGACCTGTAGAGGTCTTTTTTTATAAAAGAAACCTTCAATCCATAGCAGGGCCCTGTAGAAGGTCTCATATAGGTTTCCTATTCATAAATAATAATAAGGAAGGCCTTCGACAGGTCTCCGAAGACTTTGTAAAGATCTTTTTCGCTCAGAAGACCTGCAAAAGGTATTCAGACCGAAGAATACCGAAGAAGGTATTCATTTCATTGAGGACCTTTAGACGGTTTACTTTTCAAATAAGACCTATGAGGTCCTCCTTTTTATTGAAAACTCTAGAAGGTGTGATTCTCCTGTGAGCCGATATATCCCATCTTCGCATCAGATTTGGTATTACTAGAAATAATGGGATATGCGAAGTATGAAGAGAACTGGACTCTTATTTGGATTTTATAATCGTTTTGATTATTCAAAATTTTGACCCTTTGTGGATGAGGTACCAGAAGGATTGGTCCGATCTCTACCATCTTTATAACAGATCTTGTTTTAATACATATATTGAGATGTTCCAAGTCTGAACGGAATCGGATGTTCATTTCCCGTTTTATGAGCTTCATGGATATTCAAAATTTTGACCCTTTGTGGGGTGGTACCAGAAGGAGTGGACCTATATATTCCATCTTCACACCAGACCTTGGGTTAATTAAAATATTGTGATCTGTGTAATTTGAAGATAATTGGATATTTTTATCACATTTTATAAGAGTTATAATTATTCAAAATTTCGACCATTTATGGGGGAGGTACTTAATGGGGTGGTCCGATATTGTCCATTATAGCATTTCGACCTTCTGTGGGGGAGGTACCAGATGGAGTGGACCGATATTGCCCATCTCCGAACTCGATCTAAGTTTGAGGATAATATTGTGATGTACCAAGTTTAGGACCTTCATGAGTTATCCTACACACCAGCTAGCCAGACGGACGGACATCCCTAGATCGACTCTAAATGTCCTAAAACGAATTTTGCCCAAAGAGACCTGGGGTCTAAAAAATTGAGAGACCTCTATTATTATCTTTCTTTTTATACCCTACACCACATGATGGTTAGGGTATGTGCACAGGCAAAAGGAAACGAGATAGACCCTTTTGATGATCTGCATAGAATCTGAGTTGATTTATGCATGTCAGTCCGCCCGTCTGTCCATGTATTCTTGTGAACAAAATGCAGGTCGCATTTATTATCCGATTGCGATGAAATTTTTGGCTCAAGGACGAACGCTATTGAAATTGGAGATAATCGGTAAAAATTTAGATATAGCTCCCATATTTATCTTCGTCCGATTTGCCTTTATTGTGCACCAAACGTGTAATATCAGTCTGAATGGTATGGAATTTTGCACATACAACCAAATTAGGTCTGAAAATAAGTTTGCCAAATTTGATCGAAATCGGTTCAGATATAGCTATAGCTCCCAAATATATTGTTCATCCGATTTGTTATTTTTGTCTTCCGCTGCCGTAATATGCACTCTGTAACAACAATATTTGGGAAAATATAGCCAATACAGCTCAGAAATACCTTTGCTAAATTTATCGAGATCGGTTCAGATTTGGATATAGCTCCCATATATAACTTCGTCCGATTTACTTTTTATTGTACGTCTAATATTTGTCCAAATGGGGTGGAATTCGGCACATACGACCGAATTGAGTCTAGAAGCTAGTATGCCAAATTTGGTGAAGATCGGTTCAGATATAGCTATAGCTGCCATATATAGTGTTCATCCGATTTGTTGTCCACAGCCGTAATAGCAATCCGTAAGAACGATATTCAGGGAAATATATCAATACCGCTCAGAAATATCTTTGCCAAATTTTATGGAGATCGGTTTAGATTTGGATATAGCTCCCATATATATCTTTATCTGATTTCAAATTATTTTTGCTCCAAATGGGCAATACAATTCCGAATTTAAAGGATACAAATGTTTCGGCATATTTAGTCCTTGAATTTTAAATTATAATTATAATCATAGGGTGAATTATGAATTCTCCCATAAAAACATTTAATTATTATGTGGAGCTCAACTAAATTAGCAAAGTGGTGTAGGGTATCATAAAGTCGGCCCCGCCCGACTTTAAGACTTTCTTTACTGGTAATTTTTATTTTTTTTGTTTCTTTTTATCCTTTCCATTTCATTTTTTATCACCTTCTTCTCTTTTCAGATTTCCCGTCAAAGTATCGATGCTTGCAAGGATTACTTCCGTGATGATTTAATTAAGGCTGATTGGGCTCTAATGGTTGAACTGAAGAAACTTTTCCAAATTTTATAAATTGTTTATAGAATCGATTGCAATATACAAACATATATTTATTTCCTGATGATGATGCTGATGATGAAAAACTGACCCACGGAGACAGACAAATAAACAAGAAGAAGAAGAACATCAACAATGCTTTCGTAATTTTAATATTTATACTTTTTTTGCGCCTGGATTATTTAATTTGCCAAAAAATCAGAAGGTCCTGGCCCTTGTCGCCTTAAAAAAAACAACTATGGATGAAGATGACAAGCCAACTGCTGGCTGCCAGGATTCGTGCAAACAATTATAAGTTTCCTTTTTTATAAAAAAAAATTTCTTCCAAAAAACTCAACACAAACAAACACACACAAATCATAAATTGATTGAAAAGAAATGGAAAAAAATTGAGAAAAAAAAAACACAATTTGATTGCAATAAATAAATTATGGCTTACAGACAAAAAAGTATAACAAAAAATAAATGAATGAAGTTTTGTATTTCGAGGGAGGGAGGCTTTTTTTTGTGGGCTCTAAACAAGGACGAATACCCTGGGGTATGACCTCAGTGTGAAAAAAAATAGCTGACCCCGGCCCCTTGCGGCGCTAAAATTTACCTTCTCTATTTTTTCTCAATGATAAACTTGGTTGAATGACGTCATTCTGTGTGAAATACAGAGAGTTTATAGGAAGTGAGGTAGAGGGGAGGGGAAATGCCGTCCGTCCCCATTGCTTGTTCATTTAGCTATACATAGAGATCCGAATCTATGAGGAACTTATCTGTTTGTACCCATGTCGCGTTCGTCCTCTGTCATTCATACATACATCCTTTCATTCATTGTTCTGTTATTTGTGAGAGAGAGGTGTAGGAAGTAAAAGGAGAGAGATGGCGCTGAACGTTATATGCCGGCAAAAGCTTCAAGGATGTTGCCCTAAATGAATTGTGCCAATTTTTACATGGTTTGCACAACGTCAATGTGTTATGGCAACCGATGTTGCGGCATTATCTGAGACTAGAAAATATATATGTGCATTTACATATATACCAACAGACACTTATATATAGAGAGACAAGGACGAAAAGAGAGATGGGTGTATTGCAACGCACGTTGGAGACACTAAAAACAAGGCTAAAACAGAAAAGACGAAATAGATGCGAAGTAAAATGGATAGAGGCGGCTAGGTCGACCTAGTGATATCACCCTGAAATGTCAATATTTAAGGAGTTATGGCCAATTTAAAGTATGCTATTTTTCCTCCTTTAAAAAGTGATCACAAATTATAGCTAAAAACCCCGAAATGTCAATATTTAAGGAGTTATGGCCAATTTAAAGTATGCTATTTTTCCTAGTTCAAAAAGTGATCACAAATTATAGCTAAAAACCCCGAAATGTCAATATTTAAGGAGTTATGGCCATTTTAAAGTATGCTATTTTTCCTCCTCAAAAAAGTGATCACAAATTATAGCTAAAAACCCCGAAATGTCAATATTTAAGGAGTTATGGCCATTTTAAAGTATGCTATTTTTCTTAGTTCAAAAAGTGATCACAAATTATAGCTAAAAACCCCGAAATGTCAATATTTAAGGAGTTATGGCCATTTTAAAGTATACTATTTTTCCTAGTTCAAAAAGTGATCACAAATTATAGCTAAAAACCCCGAAATGTCAATATTTAAGGAGTTATGGCCAATTCAAAGTATGCTATTTTTCCTAGTTCAAAAAGTGATCACAAATTATAGCTAAAAACCCCGAAATGTCAATATTTAAGGAGTTATGGCCATTTTAAAGTATGCTATTTTTCCTCCTCAAAAAAGTGATCACAAATTATAGCTAAAACCCCGAAATGTCAATATTTAAGGAGTTATGGCCATTTTAAAGTATGCTATTTTTCCTCCTTTAAAAAGTGATCACCGATTATAGCTAAAAACCCCGAAATGTCAATATTTAAGGAGTTATGGCCATTTTAAAGTATGCTATTTTTCCTCCTTTAAAAAGTGATCACAAATTATAGCTAAAAACCCCGAAATGTCAATATTTAAGGAGTTATGGCCATTTTGAAGTATTCTATTTTTCCTAGTTCAAAAAGTGATCACAAATTATAGCTAAAAACCCCGAAATGTCAATATTTAAGGAGTTATGGCCATTTTAAAGTATGCTATTTTTCCTCTTTAAAAAAGTTATCACAAATTATAGCTAAAAACCCCGAAATGTCAATATTTAAGGAGTTATGGCCATTTTAATGTATGCTATTTTTCCTCCTTTAAAAAGTGATCACAAATTATAGCTAAAAACCCCGAAATGTCAATATTTAAGGAGTTATGGCCATTTTAAAGTATGCTATTTTTCCTCCTTAAAAAGTGATCACAAATTATAGCTAAAAACCCCGAAATGTCAATATTTAAGGAGTTATGGCCATTTTAAAGTATGCTATTTTTCCTCCTTTAAAAAGTGATCACAAATTATAGCTAAAAACCCCGAAATGTCAATATTTAAGGAGTTATGGCCATTTTAAAGTATGCTATTTTTCCTCCTTTAAAAAGTGATCACAAATTATAGCTAAAAACCCCGAAATGTCAATATTTAAGGAGTTATGGCCATTTTAAAGTATGCTATTTTTCCTCTTTAAAATAGTGATCACAAATTATAGCTAAAAACCCCGAAATGTCAATATTTAAGGAGTTATGGCCATTTTAAAGTATGCTATTTTTCCTCCTTCAAAAAGTGATCACAAATTATAGCTAAAAACCCCGAAATGTCAATATTTAAGGAGTTATGGCCATTTTAAAGTATGCTATTTTTCCTCCTTCAAAAAGTGATCACAAATTATAGCTAAAAACCCCGAAATGTCAATATTTAAGGAGTTATGGCCATTTTAAAGTATGCTATTTTTCCTCCTTTCAAAAAGTGATCACAAATTATAGCTAAAAACCCCGAAATGTCAATATTTAAGGAGTTATGGCCATTTTAAAGTATGCTATTTTTCCTCCTTCAAAAAGTGATCACAAATTATAGCTAAAAACCCCGAAATGTCAATATTTAAGGAGTTATGGCCATTTTAAAGTATGCTATTTTTCCTCCTTTAAAAAGTGATCACAAATTATAGCTAAAAACCCCGAAATGTCAATATTTAAGGAGTTATGGCCATTTTAAAGTATGCTATTTTTCCTCTTTAAAAAAGTTATCACAAATTATAGCTAAAAACCCCGAAATGTCAATATTTAAGGAGTTATGGCCATTTTAATGTATGCTATTTTTCCTCCTTTAAAAAGTGATCACAAATTATAGCTAAAAACCCCGAAATGTCAATATTTAAGGAGTTATGGCCATTTTAATGTATGCTATTTTTCCTCCTTTAAAAAGTGATCACAAATTATAGCTAAAAACCCCGAAATGTCAATATTTAAGGAGTTATGGCCATTTTAAAGTATGCTATTTTTCCTCCTTTAAAAAGTGATCACAAATTATAGCTAAAAACCCCGAAATGTCAATATTTAAGGAGTTATGGCCATTTTAAAGTATGCTATTTTTCCTCCTTTAAAAAGTGATCACAAATTATAGCTAAAAACCCCGAAATGTCAATATTTAAGGAGTTATGGCCATTTTAAAGTATGCTATTTTTCCTAGTTCAAAAAGTGATCACAAATTATAGCTAAAAACCCCGAAATGTCAATATTTAAGGAGTTATGGCCATTTTAAAGTATGCTATTTTTCCTCTTTAAAAAAGTTATCACAAATTATAGCTAAAAACCCCGAAATGTCAATATTTAAGGAGTTATGGCCATTTTAATGTATGCTATTTTTCCTCCTTTAAAAAGTGATCACAAATTATAGCTAAAAACCCCGAAATGTCAATATTTAAGTAGTTATGGCCATTTTAAAGTATGCTATTTTCCTAGTTCAAAAAGTGATCACAAATTATAGCTAAAAACCCCGAAATGTCAATATTTAAGGAGTTATGGCCATTTTAAAGTATGCTATTTTTCCTAGTTCAAAAAGTGATCACAAATTATAGCTAAAAACCCCGAAATGTCAATATTTAAGGAGTTATGGCCATTTTAAAGTATGCTATTTTTCCTCTTTAAAAAAGTTATCACAAATTATAGCTAAAAACCCCGAAATGTCAATATTTAAGGAGTTATGGCCATTTTAATGTATGCTATTTTTCCTCCTTTAAAAAGTGATCACAAATTATAGCTAAAAACCCCGAAATGTCAATATTTAAGTAGTTATGGCCATTTTAAAGTATGCTATTTTTCCTAGTTCAAAAAGTGATCACAAATTATAGCTAAAAACCCCGAAATGTCAATATTTAAGGAGTTATGGCCATTTTAAAGTATGCTATTTTTCCTAGTTCAAAAAGTGATCACAAATTATAGCTAAAAACCCCGAAATGTCAATATTTAAGGAGTTATGGCCATTTTAAAGTATGCTATTTTTCCTCTTTAAAAAAGTTATCACAAATTATAGCTAAAAACCCCGAAATGTCAATATTTAAGGAGTTATGGCCATTTTAATGTATGCTATTTTTCCTCCTTTAAAAAGTGATCACAAATTATAGCTAAAAACCCCGAAATGTCAATATTTAAGGAGTTATGGCCATTTTAAAGTATGCTATTTTTCCTAGTTCAAAAAGTGATCACAAATTATAGCTAAAAACCCCGAAATGTCAATATTTAAGGAGTTATGGCCATTTTAAAGTATGCTATTTTTCCTAGTTCAAAAAGTGATCACAAATTATAGCTAAAAACCCCGAAATGTCAATATTTAAGGAGTTATGGCCATTTTAAAGTATGCTATTTTTCCTCCTTTAAAAAGTGATCACAGATTATAGCTAAAAACCCCGAAATGTCAATATTTAAGGAGTTATGGCCATTTTAAAGTATGCTATTTTTCCTCCTTTAAAAAGTGATCACAAATTATAGCTAAAAACCCCGAAATGTCAATATTTAAGGAGTTATGGCCATTTTAAAGTATGCTATTTTTCCTAGTTCAAAAAGTGATCACAAATTATAGCTAAAAACCCCGAAATGTCAATATTTAAGGAGTTATGGCCATTTTAAAGTATGCTATTTTTCCTCCTTTAAAAAGTGATCACAAATTATAGCTAAAAACCCCGAAATGTCAATATTTAAGGAGTTATGGCCATTTTAAAGTATGCTATTTTTCCTAGTTCAAAAAGTGATCACAAATTATAGCTAAAAACCCCGAAATGTCAATATTTAAGGAGTTATGGCCATTTTAAAGTATGCTATTTTTCCTAGTTCAAAAAGTGATCACAAATTATAGCTAAAAACCCCGAAATGTCAATATTTAAGGAGTTATGGCCATTTTAAAGTATGCTATTTTTCCTCTTTAAAAAAGTGATCACAAATTATAGCTAAAAACC